CAAACAAAAAAACCAAACAAAATAAAACAAAAGCCCCAAAACTAGGTTGTCTTCTGAAAAAAAAAAAAAAGTCAAAGAAAGAAAAGCAAGAAAAAAGCCCTACAAGATTTTTCAGTCTTTACAGACTGTAAATTTGATCTTGTGAAGACCAAAAAGGAGGCAAAGTGAAGCAAAGCAGGCTCTCGGAGCAGGGCAGGGGCACTGTGGCACAGACTGCCCTCCATCAGGCTTTGGAAGCTGCTCTCTCTCTGTTTACGTTCAGTTAGGAAAAAATACCTTCCTATCACGGGCATCATATACCAGCCGAGTTTTCTAGGGTAGAAGTTTAACAGCAGTTCTGTTTCAATACCAGCTTTAACTGGTGACGCAATTCCAAGTCATCCAAGTTCCCCTCTATCCAATTCTTCTTAGCTGACCATCTACGACAAGTCCTGCTTCCCCCAACCCTGCCACCATCACCAGTACCACTAAACTACTTCAGATTGATGAGATCAAATATGGATAAACAAGAAGGGATTACACAAACGTAGGGACAGAGAGGACACGTTCATAGAAGTCTATTCAAGATAACCAGAGAGGTTACAGAACCCAAGCCTCCCCTCAAGAAGCTCTTCAGCTGGAAACAAGTGCAGGTCAAGCATCACAACTGCTCATCCTGTTCCAGTCTTCTCATATTTTGGTCACTGTTGGAGAAAGAATAGGATCCAGCTGGATTTCCAGTGCCAAAGAACATATTTTCTCTTCAGAAGGAAGGCGTTGCAGAGCCTGAGAACTATCGCTACTGCTTGCAGTGACCAAACAAATGTGAGTTCCCCGCTTATTCAAAATTCTGAGCTGCATCTACACCCCGTGGACTTGGTCTATTCAACCCAATCCTGTGCAATTCCATCCTGAATCTGCTCTGGAGGCTCAGTGGACTCAGCTGCTATCAACAAGAAGCTCCAAACCAGCAGGAGCTTCCATCGATGGGAGCTGAACCACCTTTCCCATTATATGGGGGCAAGGCAGAAGCGTACACAGCCAAGGCACTCGCCAAAATAAACTCACCGATAAATCTCTCACCGAGCAACTTGGTGAGATTTATCCACAAAGAGAGTATTCATTATAAATACGTCTGTTCATGAAAGGGCAAAAACTGTAAATACATCTGATCTCCGCTCACCCTGAGATGTTTTGACCTAACTCTATGACAATAAAACCAAAATATTCTCAGCCAGGGAAGGAAAGCAGGGGGGAACAACACTGAGCAGCAGAAACACAATGATAAAATAAAACTTGCAGATGCCAAATTGGGGGAAGAGTATGCTACAAGGATAAGTCATGAGTTGTGGGAACAGTCAAGATGGCTCTGGCTTCCTCCAATGCCACACATGCCTTGTGCTCTTGCAGAGCTAATCCCAGCTTTACAAAACTTAAGAGCGAGCCCACTGAATCAAGGACACGGGGGTGTTGGCAGCAGCGTGCTATGAAACCACAGCTTCCGACAAGGAAGAGGACAGCGCTGGGCTTGGTGAGAACATATGCATTTCTGCAACAAGAAACAGGCAGAAGACCACCAAGGCTACTCAACATCGCCCACAAAGCACTGTCCATGTTCAGAGAGCAAGCCAGGCTTTGCAAGAAGCTCAAACAACAAGATGAAGGTGACTGGAGATGGCTGAACAGAGGACAGTACAGAGCTGGATCACAAGGGATGAAGGAGAGAGCAGCCACAAGAGCAAAGAAAACAAAATGAGCCCCCCCAAAATGGGTAAAAGGCACAGGTAAAGCCCAAAAAAAAAAGCAATCAAGCCACAGTAAGTTTAAGGGAATTATTTAATGGTGATCAAATTGCAACACATTACAACAGTACAGGCAGTGTTAGCATAGATCTAGTCACACACTTCCAGGCGAGGGCAGGGGCAGCGAGGCAATGGCTGCGGGGATCCCCCCCGAAGCCTCTGATCGCTGTTACTCACGCAGGGGTTGGTTTCCACACACCCAGAAAGCTGGACCGCAGGTTTTGTCCTGCTTTTAACCTTCCATTAGGTGCCCTCAACACATTTCTCGTCCCTGTGCATTCCCTGTAGGAAACAGCTTCTGCTAAACCCCAAAACTACTAAGATTTCCAAATCTGATCACGGACTTGCTCTAAGTCTACACAAAGGAGCCACAGAATGGAAGAAGACAGTAACTGGGGGGGGATGAAACTCTTTTCTAGCTATCTGTAGGAGGTAGGCTTCCCTAATGCTGAAGGGCTAAGAGCAAAACTGCTCTAAGGTTATTTAAAGAGGAAAGCCTTCCTCCTACTCAAATATACCGTGGGGCTTTCATTCTTGCAGGAGGTGGCTTCCCAGACATGCCTGGGCAGGCAGGCGTGCCTGGAGCTTAGGCCCAAGGGCTCCTCCATCCGCGATGGAAATGCTGAGCAGGTTCAGAGAAGTTTTGCAATACTATCCTGATTCTTTAGAGCAGGGTGACATATGGGTAAGTTTTGACTACTCTAAGGAGGAGCTTTCCTCTGCACGTCCCACGTATCCAGGTGCTCTGCCATGCTCTCCCCAGCAAGAACTGCTCAGGGCACAAGGAAATTCATCTTTAACTGGAGAAAGTGCTTCCCACTGTCCTTCCTTTAGGCTTCTGATGTTTTACCATACATCAGAACCAGGAACAAGAACAGCTCTAGAGCCGTTTTGCTGCTGTGAATAGGAAGAACGTGACTAAAACCATCAGAAAACACAGCCAGGCATTTCTGTCAGCAGCTGCAGCTACCAAAACTGAGGAAAGCCATGGACTTCAGCGGCAAGGGACAGGTTACAGTTTGCTTTACTGTACACCCTAGGGACAGGAGATCATATCCAACTTAGTCCCACTGTTTTTTCCGACATCCTTCGATGTGCACAGACTGAACAGAAAAGTCTGTAGGCACTTCAGCGTGCAGCTTACTTGAAAGCATTGGCATAGCAAGGTAATAATGCACCAAAAAAAAAAAATCATTCTTGCATTGCCAAAAAGCTATCGAAGAAATGCAGCAGCACATACATCTGAAGGACAAGCTAGGTATTTCAAGCACAGAAATCAGGTCTCCAGCACTGCCCGGAATCAACTCCATCCCAGTTCATAGGTCCATGGATGTTGCACTCCGGGCCGTGGTAACATTTATGCGAACTCGCGACTCCAGCACACTGATGAGCAGCTACTCAGCACTGAGCTAGAAAAGTTTCTGAAATATATTGGATCACGTTCTCTCATATGCAGGCACAGCACACGTAGACAAACAGCCCCTGAAAACTGAAGTTACAGGCAACGCACACTACAGTAGGTGTAGGTACCGTCAGGTAACGCCAGCTGCTCGACACAGGCAGTGGTCATTGAACATTTACATGCGATATGGCTCACTGAACTTGTTACTTGTCCTCTGGTTCACTCTGCTGCAGTGGATGAGTGTTGATGAACACAAGTAACATATCCAGGCACAGTGTTTCAGCTTTACAGCAAATCCAGAGCTGGAGGAATCTAAGCAGCCCAGCACATTTTTTGTTAATAAAAACACATTTGCTTAGCACATGATAGGGGAAAAAAGGAAACTGCATGTACAATCTACATCCATATAAGTCCCAGCACAAAGAAAGCCAAGCAAAGTAAAGTAGATAACAAAATACTAAATCGAGTAAAAAAAATGGACAGGGACTGAAAGAGTTCAGCTCAGAGTTCCTAGAAAGGCAACATCCAGAGCCCCTAGCTTCTTGTGCTGTTTTACATTGGAACACACACGATACACGGTTTCAAAAGATGAAGTTTCCAGTCCCAAGAAAAGCTAAGCTAGATCAGGTTTTAAGTTAAATCCTAGGAAAAAAGGCTCCTTCATCTAGTTCACAGTACAATCTTCAACAACAAATGGTCAACCCACACAAGGGACAGCATACATATTCCCTACTTAAAGATCACCAGACTTGCTTTTACTATAACTACAACTGTTGTCATGCCACCAGCAAGGAAGTCTGATCTGTTTAAACACTTCATTGCAAGTGTGAGACAATCATCCCAACACAAGCAGATGTGTTAATGTAGTATCTAAGGTGAAGTTGTCACAACATTCAGGACTCTCTTTCAATTCACGTATGGCTATATTACTTTCCTGTCACCTAGAGTATGCGACTTCTGCCCCACCAGAAAGGGACACCACCATCCTCGACTTCCACACTTGTTACTGCTCCCTTTGCTTTCTCTCCTGTACAGACCTCCAATCTCTTCCAGTAACTGTCAATACCAAAACTCATCCAAATCTGCCACAAAAATTGTTCTCGGGTGGCTCACTTATAAAGTAGCTCCCCAAGAAAAGAGAATGCTGCAACGTTTGCAATCACTCCAACCCATCCTCCCTGTACTTCTCAAAGTATCTGGTGACTCCCCTGCAGAAACACAGGAGGACAACTCCACCATCGCTGATCATGTTCTCCATCTCGGTCACACAGGGTCTAGCAGGAGCCTTAGCCCACATGTTAGAATGGTCTAGTAAACAGTAAGGCCAGACATGCTTAAAGATTAACACAAAACCAAGACACACTAGCAGCCACAGCTTACACCCTACTTTTGGACAACGCAACAGGTTTTTATCCAGGGCCACGCGCTGCTTTCTAAACCAGTAAAGACACTAACATCTTGTGGCAAAACGTACATGCTGCACATTTACGACCCAATGCTCAGGTCCATATTCCTGCACACCGTATTGCTCCCCTTCCCCTGTAGCTGCCATCCCTATGTTGTCACTCAGCCAAGAAACACGGCCATGTGCTCTGTTTCTTTTCCAGCAAAGCTCTGCTTCACTGCTTTAGAGCTGCTTTGTTCCCACGCCAGCATCACCTTGCTAGAGCAGCAGTCTTAGTGCCTGTTGGAGATGCACACGTATCCCGGTTTCGCCTACAGCTTGCCGTAAAAAGATAACTCCAAGAAACGCTGCTAACATTTACATCCAGCGGTGCGTACACGAGGACATTGAGAGATGAGACAAGTGGAACAGATTTAGACCAAAAGCAGTGGACATTTATTCCTCATTTGTGCAAGAGTGTAAAGATGCATTTGAAAATGGATGGGACAGACCCCTGTGGCTGGAGAGCTGGAGGTTACAGCCTCTCCTTCAGTCGATGGCTTTGTTTACAATTCTACTAAGAGGAGATAAACTTGCAGACTCACCTACTGTCACACCAACGATGCTGGCAAATACACTTGTATACAAAGAAAAGTTTCAAACTACATTTTTTTTTTCCACTAGATTCAAGTGAAGACTTTGTTCCAAAAAAAAAGACACATACAAGTACAATTTAAAACTGTATGAACATCTGCAAATGTTTAGTGCAAAGTAATTATGTAAAAGCTACATTTTATGAAAGTTTGTGCTGATGTGTTTGGTAGGTTTGTTGGTTTGTTTTTTTCACCCTTTTACATCCATTATTTTACTTACATAAGGTTTCACTTACCTACAGTACATATGCATTGTGTTAGGTCCCATGCAAGTGGGAATAATACCGTTAGGTTTTGTAAAATGTCACTCAAGATTCTCATTTAGTAAACTGCTTATTTGGTTTAACAGTCAAGTTCCTGGCACACTACACATCCTGATTTCATCTAAGTGCTTAAAAGCTCGTGTTTGTCTTGTTCAGGTGCATAGCTTCGTGTGATGCAAACCAAGCTGCTTCATGACTTCCAAATGCAACCACTCGTGAATGCAAAAGTTTGAGAGAAATCCACCATTAGTCTTAGCCTGTACCAAACTGATCTTAAAATTAAAAGCCTATTCACACAAAGTTATATGTAATGACTGTAGTAATCAGTTTATTACACAGATTAATCATTCTTCAACGTACAAGCTCCAGGGGAGCAGTTGGGTCTTTAAATATACACAAGTTCTCTGTCAAATGGATTTTTACCCTTACATCCAGAAAGACCTAAGCAGTTAAAAAACTTAAGAAAAATAAGAGCTATTAGCTATGTATTAACTGAGAAACCACATACAAACCAAAAAAAAGTATGAAGGAAAGGAGAGAGTTGAAACAAATCAACATCACTTGATGCACTAATAGCTCCAATCCATTTAAATGTTGACCGGTTAAACTTAGACCTTAAACACAGGATGTGGGTACAGTTTATCTCATTGGTCATAACATTTACCTAAGGTATAGGTCCTTCAGAATAAAATGAATACAGAAACAGCTTCAAGTTCTTCACCTTGCTTTTCATAACTGTTATGAGTTTAAAAGGATTCCACTTAAAATCCTTCACGGATCAGCAACACTGTCCCTAGGAATATGAAGTCCACCATAACTCTCTCATTCACATTTTATTACCCAATTTAAATCAACAAGGAATGCTTTTAGGCTCACAAAGTTATGACTGAAGAACCAGCTTTTCACACACACACTTCTCTGCTAGGAGTCAATGTTGGTATGGGGAAATACAGTATTTCTATTTTGTTGTTCCAAGTATGTACAACACGCAGCACTGCTGTATCAGGTAAACATGTGCACAGGGGAAGATGAGGCGTGGGCTCATAGAAAGCAGTCAAATGGAAATCAAAAGGACTTTCTCTTTCAGAGTTCCCCTATCTTTATTTGTAGAGGTTATCCAATAATTTCTTTAATTACATCGCATACTTCTGAGTCCATTCCCGAGCTATTCTGTTGTACCTGTATGTACAAAAAAAGAATTTACTTAACATAGCATCTGAACAGTACTTCAGCTCTAGCAGTCTAGTCTACACATGGCACAAACTTATATTCTCTCCAATAATATCACAAATTTGTAAAATTTAAGAGCAAACTGAAATATTAGGCAAACACAGGAAACAAGAAAGCCCACAGTACTTCATGGAAAAGGAATAATTAGTATTTCCAAAAGGAGTATGAGATCTTTGTGATTTAAGCTGCAAAAGAGAGCTAGAACAGGTCCATGGGGGGAGTATTTTCAGGAAGGCTTTACCTGCACCTCTTCCAGCCCCCAACTACTGCATCCCTGGCGAAACTATTACTGCAGGTTTTAATTTTGGCATTCTGGAAAAAAATACATTAATGTGTCCCTCCTACCTCATTCTTCTTCTTCCCTTAGAAAGTTAAGCCTAGTACCTGGTTGCCAGTACTAGACTGCCAAACTCCAACAGGATTGTTTCTTCCTAGACATTGTATTTGGCTATTTCAATGACTATCAGGACACAATGATTTGTCCACCAGAATTTTTTTTTATTCTGAAGGCACAATATGCTCTGTTTCCGAAGCCACCTGTAGCTTTTGTGCTGAACTACCCTTTATAGCCAGAGCCACTGCTAGAGGAAGCTCAGGATACTTCTGTAAAACAAAGCAGTTGTCATGATTAACACTACTGCTAAAATCTTATTTCTGACAACAGAAGGCAAGTTATGTTCTTCTACAGAATTTGTAGAAAAAGCAAGACATTTATAGTGAGAAGTTTCCTAGTTATGTACACCGACTAGGTTCTTGTGCTTGAATCTAGTCCATAGACAATGTTCTTCAGCTTAAAGAATCTGACAATCCACTCATAACAAATGCTCTCGCCTTCACATCAGTGTTCAGAGGCTACTCAAGAAGCAAGTACAGTTATGTTTAAGCACAAAATTTATTTCCCTGTTTTTGGAAAAAACAGGAAAGAGTCCTGCATACATTAAGTGCAGTCACTGTTAGCTGCATCTTGAAATACATCCTGCTACTTTTGAAGCTGTCATTAAAAACAGGATGCCTGAACTTCTCTAACACTGCTTCTCAAGTATCCAGTAGAGTTAAGGAAGTTTGTGGATCATTTTCCCTTCCTATCTTGTTCTCATCAGATGACCGTGTAGTTCCAGAAATTAACACTACTAATCAGATCTGGAAGGAAACAGTGAGGTAGAAAAGTGTTTGCAACAGTCATTAAGCTGTTACTTTTAAAGTGCTCATTAGCACTAGAGTTCTCTATTCTTGCTCTTTACTTCATAGAAGCTTGGAGTCCTCCCACGCCACCTCTACACCATTTGACAACACAAGGGAAGAACAAGTGAAGATGAACCAGGGGTTTGTTTTGGTTTGGTTTTTTCATTTCTGTGCTTGTACAATTCTATCACCCAGAGCAAGCATGGAAATACTCTCCCACTGAAGTAACTTGCTCTCCCTCTGCTGGTCATGTGGAATTAGAGCAGGCAGCAAAGGCTCTCAAAAGCTGGTCGCATTCACCTTTGAGCTCCATATGAAACAGCTTTGCATTGCTCACTTCACATTTTCGTTACGTCAAACAAACCTGTAATTAACAGCTACAACACTAATGAAAGACCATTGTGTGGAACCAAAATGCAGTAATAAAACCACAGAAGTACAAGTACCTCTACATCCTTCACATCTACTGGCATATATACCTTTTTCCTACAGCAATGCAGAACCATGAAGATAGTATACAAATCCCAGGGAAAAAAAAACCCACCTCTGAAATGACCACAGTTAAAGTGAAAAAGGCAAATCGAAGTTCACATTCTTTTCCAAGAAGCAGGTCCTTTCATTCCCCTTTACTATTTAAGTGTGGATTTTGCTCTGTCAAGAATGTTACTTGTTTTTTAGCTTCCATACTTACTTTTCTCTATCTGTTTTGTAGATCCGTGCAATCTCAGGCACTAAAGGATCATCTGGATTGGGATCACACAACAGAGAACAGATGGACAAAAGTACTAGGGAGAGAAAAAAAGATACTGAATTAGAGTTTAAGAGCAGTCAAAGACACCTGGAGAAGTCAGCCCACACACTCGCTTCCCCTCTAGCCATTAGTATTAGCATCATTTTTTTAAAAATGCCAAGGAGCAGTAATCCCACATACCTCAGCCAAGTGATTTTGAACAAAAATCCTTACCATTTAACTACATAACTTTGCATGACCACTAGTTTAAGTATGACCACAACAGGTAACCTCCTGGATAGGTGTATTTGACTACAGCCTTAAATCACAAGGCAGAAGTGTTCCATCTGAAATCATACCTGAAAGCCTTCTCAGAAAACATCCTTGCTTTCGCAATTGAAATTCAGCTTTTCCCTAAACCAGACAACTTCATTGTTAATGACATGCAGAAGTATGAAAACAAACAGCAGATGGATCCAACTGAGATGAAAGAAGCATGAGCTGCTCATAGATACTTAAGAACTGTTCAAAAAAAATGTTAGTCTTGCATAGAATTAAGAGGCTTTATCCAAACATTTTCTGAGCATAAGGAAGGTTGAGATGGATTACTTGTAGAATGGTATTCAAAAATGAGTGAAGAAAGCATAACTTTCTGCATTCATACCAACCACAAAGCCCTGAACTTTAGAGTTTCACTATAAATATACACCATATACATCCTAGAAGCCATACCCTGCTCATATGGTGCCGCACAGTATAGCGTCAACCTTCATCCATATAAGGAGTCAGGAGACTGCCTGTAAAGCTACAAATAACACGTGCACTTCCTACGTTCACACCAAAGTAGATGAGATGGCAGTAAGTTATAAGCAAAGCATATTGGGACAACATTACATGTGGCACATCAGGGATGTCTTGCCCCTCCCAAAGAAATGCCAAACATTTCTTTGTATTGCTCTCTCTCAACCTGTTTTAATCAAACAGTGCCACTCCATATGTCCCTTCACCAATAGCAGCAACAGCAGAGCTGTCACAGTGCATCCTCCAAGCAAGTTGGAGGTGACAGCAGTCAGAAGTCTGAAAGGCACTAAACACAAATCTGTTCAAACTTCCATCGGCTGCTACTGCACTGTGGAGCAGGAAGCAGAGCTACCACGCTGAAAAACATCAGCTGAAAAAATGAGAGAACAACATGCATTCCAGAACTCTTTTGTTGTTTTTAAGATATGTTAAAACAGAGGCTACAAAACAAAGATGGGTTAGATGCCACCAGAGAGAAGGGGGAAAACAGGTCTGATATTCGTTGGAACTGGATAAGATTTTCAAAGTGGGACAAAACTAGAAGCTTCATTAGGTCTTAAATGAGATAGCTGTTCAGTGATGAGAGCACCAAGAACCCAGAAAAATCTGTTAGTTCAGTTTTCCTACATATTTCTGTAGACCCTTCACTGATAAGTTATTAATTTCAAGTTAAAAGCTTCTAGAATGAGTTTATTAGTAAACTGTTCTTGATTTAAGTCAACATATTTCTTGTTCTACAATAAAGAACAATCTCTTCCTCCTTTTCCTTATTTTCTACTGTATGCTTGTGAAAGAGTTACAAGCTTAAATATTCTCTACCATTAACTAACACTCGGACCGTTTATTCAACTACCTCTAAGAATACAGCTTTAAAGTGTGAAGGCTTTAATTTTGTGCTAGAAGCATGTGGAAGCTACTAGCCCTGAACTGCTGTCCCTTAGCAAGCGACACAGCATGTTGAGTACCTGCAGCACTTTCCAGCAGCTTCAGCCCTGCTTTGGTCCCCCGTCACGCCCCCCGTACATAGAGTAAAACTCACATTAGTGTTCAGTAACAGGAATCTCTCTTCCACCTTACACGCAGCTGCTGCCAGTCAGTTTAGCTTCAAAACAGTCATTTTCTCTGGCTATTTCCCTGGAGCTTATTTCTTTGTATTTGTCAGATTCCACTGTGCTGGCCAGAGAAGTTTCTTTCAAGTTTCTTGTGTCTGGCAAGATGTAAGTCTGCCCTGAACAGCACCTCCTTTACTGAACGGGAGAGTTAACCCCTGTCCCACTACAGGAGTTTCAGTTCTTGGTTTACAAGCTATCAACATGAGTGTACCATTGCTACTTGCTAGCCATTAAAAAATCCCATGCTACTAATATTCTTTACTAAAAGGGGCTGTGGTTTGTTAGAACTTAGCCAGTAGCTAAATGCTTCCCGTGATGAATTCTGTCAAACTAGTCACTTCAAAAAAACATTTCTAGGTTTCTTTCCTCAGAAGTTCACTTAAGTATCATCACTCCAAAAACACTGAGTAAAAATGGACACAATTATTTGGCTTCAAGCTGCACTGCCACATTCAGCTGCTTTGTTTTATTTTTGTAAGCCTTCACTAATCAAAACTATCCTCTAGTATGCTTGCTCTTGCTGGTAACTTCACATCTTTCCCTTTTTTATCTGTATAGCCTCAGCAAGAAAAACATTTTTAACCGAGTTATCTAAACTGGTTAATTTTATAACCCAGCTATTTGTCCAAAATAAATTCAGGAAGTTTCTCCCTTGAGGTTTTCCACCAGACCACTGCATATATGCAGACCAATTAACATAAGCAGCCTCCAAGACCACTACAAAAAAATGCCTTGGACAAACGTACCATCTCAAAGTTTAAGGAGCCAAGTGCAAGACAAAAGAAGCAGCAATCCTTTAAGATGTCAGTTCTGCATAGGAGCTCTTTGATGCAGAGTAACTAATTAAACCAACACTGTGAAACAGAGAGGAATCACCAGACTACCTTCTTCTACAGTCAAGTAGTATCGCAATGAATTTCATAGCAAAGCCTTGACGTTTACTAGTCAAATGACTACAACAATAGTAGAAGACAAAAAAATAGTTCACAAAAATCAAGTTTTGTAGCCACAGAATCAGGTTGAATAACTACACATGACAGGTAAGTGATACTGGTTTACACCTTGTCCTACTCATCCTGCATGACCATAAGCAATGCTGCCCTAGTGGTATTGGTTTGACAGTACCCCTTCAAGTCTTTCACTGAAAGAGATACAGTGTGCATGCTTCAGAAATTAAGTTTACATTTTGTCAGTAATAAGTAAAATTTATTTATTTTCCTCATGTTGATACAAGGGGTTCAAGTACAGAGTTATTTCTCCTCTCTTCACTCTTAACTGTCAAAGCAGTCCAGTCTGTAGCAAAACATTAAGCAACATAAAACATTGTCAGTTTAAAGCTTCCTTTCATTCAAAAATTGGTTTTGCTTTATTTCACCAACCATGCAGCCTACTTAACTCCAATACTTCAACTGTGATCCCCATCTATTTCCTGCAGACAACAAAAACAACTTATCTTTTAGTGGGCTTCCTACTGCTACAGACCAGCATGGACCAAGTGCTTCACAACTGCCAAGGAACTGGGAAAACCAAACTTATCAAGCAGAAAGGCTGCTAACAAAGTGTTTCTAAAAATGTAATGGGCTTGGCCTCCCCATAGAGCAGTGATACAAATGCACTCTCATGAAGCAGAATGATCACTTAACACTTAAGAAAGCTCCAGCAACATGCTCTTTGATGCAAAACGAGGTCTACCAATGTAACACAGCACATCTCTGATCCAAGTTTCTACTGCAAGACTTCCCTTTACCAAGCGTGTAACACTCCAACAAATTCAAGGACAATCTTCGAGGCACCTCCTCTGTGCAGAGAATCGCACCATTTACAGTTTGTCAACAAGTTTAGCTACAGTTTACCACTGCGTGATCCACCCCATTTTCTCAGCAGGCTTGTGCTGTGCTCTTACACCACTAAGAGTGCCTCCATTTCTGATGAGCAATTTCATCTTCCTAGTTCTGCCACATCTCAGACTGTGCAGGCTGATGCAAATTCAATATGTAAACTCCATGGCTGAGTTTCTTTTCTGCTATGAAGCAGCTCAGTCATTAGTCAGGACAATTCGTGAAGTCAGCTCTCCACAGATCCTTCCAGCACTAGCCAAATGAGTGAAAGCAATTTAAATCCCCATCTGTCTACTGGAACATCTAGTGGCTCATATAAATCCAAGAGGCATGTCAAAGCTCCAGGAACTCAGAGGTGAAGAGACTCTTAAAAGCCACAAGACTCCAACTCCAGGTGGAGGGAATAAGCTCCACAGCCAGAAGATGGACACCTTCAACAGGGGAGAGAAGTCAAAGGCACCTAGCAATTCATACCTGGCAATTAGTTTCTCTTGATGTCAGGGATGACTTTATAACCAAGGGCATCATGCAGCTATGACACACCTTGTACATCCAGAGCATATAGCTGAAGCTGAAAGGGGACTTTAGGAGCCAGAAGCAGCTGTGTACAGGCCACAGTGCTTAACTTTGCACACATTGTGTTGGTGTTCAAGTCAATGGGGCTGAGTTGATTTCTACAACAGCTCAACAGTCCAGGTTATCACTGAAAAACCCTAAGCCCTCTTAGGGCATGACGTGAGACCCAAAAGCTAGACCCTCTGGTTTCTTCAGATACCAGCACTAGAAAGGCAAGCATTAGCTTTGCCCTATCACCCTGTACTGAGACAGTGATCCCAATTAATCATGAAGTGTAGATACTTTCCACATAGAAGCCTGAGACATGACAGGCAAGGCACACACTTCCAAAAGATTGCCAACTGATTATCTCCTTCACTTTCTCAATTCAGAAGCCATCTTCCAAATGAAAAACTCAAATCATTTACTTTGTTCACAAAGCCAGAATGGGTCTAATGTCAATCACTTCCAGTTGTCCCCTTAACAGAGGGTACTGGCCACTACAGATACTACTATTTAAGCCTAGCTGGAATTGCAAGCAAAACTTGCTCCAGGAAAGCACTCATCTATGGGAGACTTCAGGGTAGGGAAAAGCGACTCAGGAGCAATGGAATCTCCAGCTGAATCAGAGCAGGGAGATAAGAAGCAAGCATCAATTCTTCCAAGGTAATGAGCTACCCAGAAGACACATCTTAACAACTGGTATGTTCTGATTCAACAGCTTTTTGGTGCAGTTACTGCTCTCTGAA